TCTTTGTACAAGTAGGTTATCTGACATCCATTTTATTGTGCTCAATTTTTACACTGAATATGATAATCTAAAAGTGTTCAGTGTGTATTCCCTTTCTACTGTCCTACATACTACACAACAACCAAGGTGTTTACCAAATCAGTGTACTTCAAGTGCTTAGCATAGCTCAGTGCCTGTGGAATGAACTTGGTGCACTGATTTAATTTAATAATAACCAATGATAACTATTTTTCTTTTTTTGAAAGTAGCCTTTCTTTTCATAAAATATATTCTTCTTAAGGTTTCACCTCCCTGTACTCTTCCCAGTGCCTCTGAACTTCCATGCTCAACCAGATCAACTTCCTCTTGTCTCTTATTAGAAAACAAACAAGCTTCTAAGGGATAATGATAAAATAAAATGTTATAATAAAGTGAAAGAAAATACATTAGAACAGGTCAAAACAAGTACATAAAAAGAAAAGAGCCCAAGAAAATCAGAAGAAACAGATATAGATGCAAAGACTCACTTGTTTCCATACTCAGAAATCTCATAAAAACATTAAATTGGAAAAAAAAAAACCCTGTATGGTAGAAAGAGAAAAATGCATAAACAAAATATATAATAAAATATATAAAACATAATAAGATAAAATTTAAAAAGCCCTGACACAACATTATGAGATAAGGAACCTCCAATGATGCCACTGAGTTTGTTTTATATTGGCCACCTATTGCTGGGCTTGCAGCCTACCCAAGAGTTTACCCATTGAGACTCTCTTGGAGAAAACTCAATTTTCATTTGTAACTGGTTATAAATTGGAGATAATGTCTGGGTTATGGATGGGGGCTTGTGTCCTTTCAGCCCTAGGAACATATCTAGTGCAGACCCATGAAGGCCCTGTCCGTGTTGCCCCAGTCTCAGTAATGATGCAATGATCCTGTTGATTCAGAGTGCCTTGTTTTCTTGGTGCTCTCCATCCTCTCTGACTCTTACACTCTTTCTTCTAGCTCTTCTGCAGAGTTCTTAGAGCCGTAACCCGGGTGGGGTGATGGGGTGGTGGAGATACACTGTTTAGGATTTAATGCTTCAAGGCCTCTCCTTCTTTGCATAATGTCTGTCTGTGGGTCTTTATATTTGTTCCCATCTGCTGCAGGATGAAGTTTCTATGATTATAGCTGAGCAAGGCACTCATCTATGATTATAATAAAATGTCGTTAAGAGTCATTATATTGCCATATGTTTTGTTGTTTTTGTTTACTTTTGTATTTAAACAGTAGTATTTGATTTTACCCTACTATTAGATTCTTGGTCACCCAAACAGTGTTGGGTGTAGGTTCAATTTGTGCAGTGGGCCTTAAGTCCAATAAGATATCTGTTGGTTACTCCCACCAAGTTTTGTGCCACCATTAATTACACTAGCATATCTTGCAGGCAGGACACCACTGTAGATCAAAAGGGTTGTGATTGGATTGGGGTTTACGTTTCTCCTTTGATACTGTGTAGAACACTTTCCTTTATAAAGACACTAACACTTGGATACTCCCTTCACTTAGAGACAGGAGCGAGAGCTTAGGCCCAACTCCAAATGACTTGGCAGATGTTGATGTTCCCTCCTGGAAGGCCTCACCCTCCATGTGGAATGGGTGGGAATGGGGTGGGAGGGGGAGTTGGGGGACATGGGAGGATGGGAGGGAGAATGAACTGGGATTGATAAGTAAAATAAGAAAATTAGAAAAAAAAAGACACAGGATAACAGAATGGATATAAGGACAGAAAAAATGCTATTTATTAAGACAGTATTTTTTATATTTCCTTTCTTTTTAGACTCAATGTTTTAAGTCTTGTTTGAAATCTTAGCCTCTGTGGGAAATAATGTATTGCCCATAAATAGGAACTTCTCTTAATATGTAATGTATAAAAATCATTAATCTCTAGATACTTATTGTGATATACCCTTTTATTGTGGTGCATCAAGCAAGAAACTATGAAAATATGGTTATGAAAATGTTTAAAAGAGGCAAATCCAGGGAAAATTAGCTATTATAAAGATTATTAATTTAGTACCAGCTATAGAAATCTGAATTCTAGTCAAAATAAGTTTAAATTGAATGTGTTCCTGCAACTGGAATCAGGAGATCTATAGGATGGGCTAATTGAGAATGAAACATTGAAACCATACTTACCAATGATGTGGATAAAACAGTTTACTGAACAGAGTGTCAAAGCTGATTGAGGGAGTTCCAGAACCTTGCAATAAGGCATGCACTTAAATTCCAGCTCTGTAATGTGATTGCTTTTACATAAAGTTATTCAAACCCTCTTTGGTCTTTAATTCCCTCAGCTGTGACAAAATAAAGAATAGCACTTAACTCACTAGATTGACTACAAATGCATATAACAATATATTTGAGAAGTACAGTATAGCTTCTGTGCTCATTAAATATTAAGTTGCTTATACTTAGAAGCTAAGGAGAAAGCAGGCATGACTCAATTATTATGGCTTCTCAGGAAGGGTTCCTATATAAGAGAAAGGACAAGAGAATTGTTGGTAAGGTATTAGAACCTGTTAGTCAAAAGGTATATTAGCATCATAGAAGAGAGGGATCACATTTTCCTAATTAAGGGATCACATGTCCTAATTAATCTCTGACATTTATGGAGCTTCTTTGGCTGATAATCTGTAGCCTAGGGCTGTGTTAAGAGAAATGGATGTAGTTATCAAACATGGGCAGGCTGTTTCTGTAGACACCTATTACAGGCAGCCTCTAGGGCCAGGCTCCCAGCTTTGATAGATGAGGTTTGTTTGAGTCTGAAGCAGTTTGCTAAGTTATGTATGAGTTGCTTTGGGGGAACATTTCATATTGATCTCATCACTCTTGTCTTTATCCAGTGTACTTCAATAGTCAAGATTACTGGTATCTGATGACTCTGGAGACTCCCTATATAGACCTCTCCTTGTATACTGGTTTATCTCTATTATGTGAAGAGACTCAAGAGATGTGACCAGGTAAGTGGAGTGTGTGTATATATGGGAAGGGATTGAAGGGTGGAGGATTAAAGAGTGATAGATGGGAGGAGAAAGATTAGATAAAACATGAGAAAATCTCGGAAGATGGATATGTGGTTGAAGAAATAGAGGGACATTGTCAGATACTCATAGTAATTGAGAAAAAGAGATAGAGGACAGGGAGAAAAAAGAGGGAAAAGAAAAGGGGTAGAAATCAGAACTCTTTATTGTAACTGTAGTTATTCTGCAGTCAATATTATTAATCAAAGTTGTCTGTTGTTCCAGATCTTGTATCACTAGCTAGTACTGAGAGATGTAAGGTACACATGCCATAAGTATCAAGAAACTAACTCTCCAGATTGAGAGGATAGAACTTGCTTATACCAATTTTAAGTGTCATTTATGCTTTAGAATTAAAAATCTAAACCATTGCCCAAACATTGTGGTCCCAAAATTTATTAGCAAAGGAGAATTTTGAGTTTAACATGCTCTGGAGTTGTCAACCTATGTTGTGGATTGTGAAAAAATATAATAGTTTTGACAAATGACAAAATATGTAGCATCTGGGAACCACAGAGATTGAGCTCTGTCACTGTTGGTGCTAGAGAAAGTGACTTAAGCCTTTGAATTAGTAAAGAATAGAGTAGAGTGGGTTTTATCTAAGTCATTGCTCCTGGTCCCTTGTAACTTTCATTGTTATATTTTTACCTCCAGTATTTTTACCTTACAGAGACTTGTGCCTTCAATTAGAAAGTACTAACCCTCTTTTTCCTGGTGAGTTGGATATGGTGGGAAAATGAAAATTCCAGAATTCCAGAAGTCTTGATAGGGTTCCTTGAAACAGTATACTTGCAGTATGTTGGTTCAAAGTCACATGATGTATCTCAAAGGGAAGGCATAGAAACAACAGTGTGAAAATGTAATAAGGAGGAAGCATGGAAGTTAGATGGTTCAGTGGAGCTGGGAAGACACACAGAGACACAGAAACAGAGAGCAGTGAGGGCATCTTACGAATATGTGAGGTAGGTAAAGGAATATTTACTGGAATTCTTTCAGTTATAAGAAATAAAGAATCCATGATACTAAAAATAGATTAGGAGAGTATGAGAGGAGGGTGAGTCATGACTCAGGTACAAAGATTCATCTAGACAGTAATATCTCAAACCATATACTAACAGGGACTTTATGTTGTGTGTATCACAAGTAGCAATGTGGGGTATCAATGTGCTTCTTCTGTACTCTAGTGCTATCCGTAGAAAAACCCAGGGATAGCTTAGTGACTCAGAACAAAGTTCTGTCAGGTTACAATCATGGCTATTGTTATTTCATATACTATATTTATGTGACAGATGTCTGAGATTTTATTTCAAAATAGGAAGAATCTGGAAAATAAGATGAGAACGAACCTGTGATAAATAATTTATAAAAGACAAAGGCTCATTTAGTTTTACAGCTTCAGTCTATTATACTTAACTTGGTTGTTTATGTCTGCAGCAAGGCAGTACACCATGGTAGAAACTCAAGGTGAGATAAATGACTCATCTGATGGCAACTATAGGACTGAGAAAAAGAGAAAGAGGCAAGGATCAAAATGCATCTCTCCATGGTACATCCTCAGTGACTAAGTTCCTTCAAGTAGATCTCATTGCCTAAACTTTCCTAAATTTCTTTACATACTCTTAATATAAATGGATTAATACATCCATGATTTCAGAGATTTTATGATTTAATAACTTTTCAGAAGCTCAGCTACAAGCAGTTTGTACAAGAGTTCAACACATGAGCTTTTGAATGTATTTGGAGTCTAAAATGTAAGTGACAGTTATATCTGGAGAGAGCAAGGTGCTGAGGTGCTGTAGAAATTAGATCAGAGGTTTTAATCTCTTCATGTTATGGAGGTTGATGAGTTCTGAATACAGAATGCAATTGTGTAATTTGAGAAAGATGTATAAAAGCTCAGAGGCTCTGATGACATACATTAGTAATGTAATCTCTCTCTTTTTTTTTTTTTTCAGAGTGCATCTTCAACTTGCCATGTTGACCTTCAATAACACTACATCCTCCTCTTCCAGCTTTTTTCTTACTGCCTTTCCTGGATTGGAACTTGCTCATGTCTGGATCTCCATTCCTGTTTGTGGTCTCTACACCATTGCACTCTTGGGAAACAGTATTATCTTATTTGCTATTATCATTGAACGGAATCTCCACAAGCCCATGTACTATTTTCTATCCATGCTCTCTGTTGTTGATCTAGGTCTGACCATCACAACTCTTCCTACTGTCCTTGGCGTTCTTTGGTTTCACGCCCGGGAGATCAGCATTAAAGCTTGCCAAATTCAAATGTTCTTTGTGCATAGCTTCTCATTCCTGGAGTCTTCAGTGTTGGTAGCTATGGCCTTTGACCGATACATAGCCATTTGTAGCCCTCTGAAGTATGCTACTTTCCTCACAGACACGATGAGTTTTGTGATTGGACTGATCATCTGTATAAGACAAATGGTTTTCATGTTTCCATCAATTATGGCAGTGAACAGTGTGTCCTTCCAGGGAGGCCAAGAACTTTCCCATCCATTTTGTTTCCATCCAGACATGATCAAATTCACATACACCAACCCCTGGATTAGCAGTTTTTGGGGAATGTTTCTTCAGCTCTACCTGAATGGCACTGACTTATTGTTCATTCTTTTCTCCTACATCTTGATCCTTCGCACTGTTCTGAGCATTGTGGCACCCCAAAAGCAACAAAAAGCTCTCAGCACATGTGTCTGCCACATCTGTGCTGTGACTATTTTCTATGTGCCAATGATCACACTGTCTTTAGCACATCGTCTCTCCAGTTCTACCCCTAGGGTGATCTGTAGTATTTTGGCCAATATGTATCTTCTCTTGCCTCCTGTGCTGAATCCAATCATTTACAGTTTGAAGACTAAAGTTATTCGCCGGACCATATATCAGCTGCTCCAATTCAAGGGTTCAAGGAACTACAGTATAAGGAGCCTCAGAGAAAGGTGGGATAGGAGAAAACAATTTTCTAGTACATGAGTTAAGGTTAAAGGGGAAGATGATTGGTTAGTGTTATCTCCAGGCATGATGGCTAATGAGGAAAATCCAACTTGATTACAGGAGGGTAAGACCACATTATCTTTAGTTTATGAGAGTTTTAGAAACACATTTCAAAGCAATTTATGACCAAATGTGTAAAATGATGATATTTAAAGCATTTATATGGACTCTCATGTGCAGAATGGTACTTTCATGTCCATTGAGCTGCCACTATGAGTAGACACACCAGGGGTTAAGTCAAGGGTTTGATCCCCTTGACCTCCCCTGGAGAGGAGAGAACTAACTCACATACATTGCCCTCTTACCTGGACCAACACCATGGTACATATATACACATACACATGTACACATGCACGCACACACACACACACACACACACACACACACACACACACACACACACAAAACCCTTCAAAATCCTTCCAGTAGAATTAATATCTCACCACAAAGCAGGGATATTTAGAACAGAAAGAAATGACAATATATTTTTGTGTTTGGTGAAGTTAACTCTTCTTTTTTCCCACTGAGGTTCATGTTCCCCAGGGAGTGATGGAGTGTTTTCCTCCCACTCCTGCTGGGGAAAGGAAAATTTATTCCTAAAGACATAGACATAGACAGGTGTAACTAAAAGTTTAGAAAAGGTTTATGTGCTGTTTTCAGTTCAAATCAGAGTCCTGTTTCCTTACACAGACACTCATACTTCTTTTGTTAACCCTTTTTATTTTCTTAACAGAGGTAATGCCTTTACAATTTAAATTGCTTATGTTTTCCCCTTTAGCACAACACATCATGTTAAATATTTCCCTTTATTGTTGCTGCATGGCCTATACAGGTTAGGATAGGTTTTTATTCCTATTCTCTAGCTCCTCTTTAGGGCAGACTGTGCCTCAAGACATTAGCCTTTGCTTGAAAGTGTTTTCTGCCTTCTACCCAGCTAGCTTCTTCTATCCCATCTATGACTTCACTAGCATCACACACACAGTGATTGCACTGATGCCTAATGAGTGATTTCTCACTGTGTATAACCAGTAGTTTTGATGCAATTCTGACATCTTGAAACCACCTTAATTAAGGAAGTACCTTTGGGTGTGGTGTTGATAGGACATTAGAGGTTTCTAAAATCTTTTTCCACTTATGGAATTATGAAACTTCATTTCTAACCTAGAATAATCCATGTCTGAACACAGTAAAGCAACAGGTAGTCTGTTCTGAGCCACCCAATTCTTTGGAAAGGAAGGAATACCAGCCATTAACACTTTTCTGTATGTTTCAGTTTTCTGGGAGACTCCACGGTTCAGTAGAAACACTGGTGGTGTAGTCGTTCCCCTCTGCTTAGCTCTCTTTATCTTCTCAGATAGTCATTCCTGAGCAACAACTTGTGATTAAAATTATTTGTATTACTTCGTTTTAAACAATGCATTCAAGTGATTTAGATATTTCACCAGGTTTATGTTCCATCAGAATAAGCCAGTTATTATTCATTTATGTGTACTATAAGTTTCCACACTCAGTCAGTAAATATAATTTTTAATTTAATGTTCTTTCTGCCACCAGGCTGTCAGAACTTTGATATCAGGACCACACCTTGAGGACATCCCTAACATTTGATTTAGTGAATATCACTTAGTTAATACTGTGTAGCATGTATTTAATTGTAATTTATGTTATTAGTCACTACTCTTAATGTTTCAGTAATTCTCTAAGTAAGTTCTCACAAACATGTATTTGATAATACCACCCATTATATTCTTAGATTCTTAGAAAATGAAATCCTAATTTTAGAAGGAAACATAATTATTGAAAGTCCGATGTAGTGTCTAAAGTTTGTATGCTTTGGATTTATAGTTTCTGGGCTTAGATTCAAAGACTAAATACTTTAGAAATATAGGTATTTGAAAAGACTTTTTAAATTGATTTTTAAAGCCTTAACTTCTTACTGTAGAACAGGAGTAATAATGAACTCCTCTTTCACATGCTTACACTAAGTCCTGAGACTTTCTCTGTGAAAGAGGCTGGCTTTCAACACATAGAGATCAGCCTGCCTCTACCTCCCAAGTGCTGCAATTAAAGGTGTGTGCCACCACCACCCAGCTCAGTTTGTGTTTGTAATCTAAATAAAGTCATTTCAACATATTCTATTTCCTTGTGACAAAACATCAAACCCTACAACTTACAATACTTAAATAGATTGCCATTTGCCTTTCAGTGTTATTTGACTAATCAGTCTATATTGAATCATGTTTCTCAATGTGTTAAGATTTATAGTATTCAATAATGTATTGAAGCTGTCTGCTTGTTCTCTTCATTGGACTTCTAGAGAAACACAGGAATTTCAGCTTTGTAATAAATGCCCATATACCCAGTTTCTGTTTGTTATTACTGTTTATTCGCTCATAAACATTTGTAACATCAGTTTTGGAATTACTTGGGTAAATTTTAAAAGATTAATGCTGTAAAATAAAATATATTTTAGATCAGTTAATGAAAATATGTTCATGAATAAAATAAAAGGTATGTTATATTAGATCAGTTAATGAAAATGCCAGGTGTTTAAAAATGTTATAGTCTTCTTTACATTTTTTTTTCTAATTCCTACCAATAAAGCAGTCTTCTTTCTTTATCCTTATTTTGGCTATTATTGAAAGCAGCTCAAAAGTAATGTGAATAAAAAGGTTTTTTTATTAAATAATAACATATTGGATTCAGAGTCCAGAGTGCTAACCATTACACAATGGAACCTCCTAATAATAACATATTGGAAAGACAGAAAATGATCTAAAATATTTTTTCCATTTTTAGGGTTTTTTAATTTAATTTTACATTCCAACCACAGTTCTCCCTTTCACCTTTCCTCCTGCAACCCCTCACCTCTCCCTAGCCCACCCCCAGGCCACTCCTCCTCATGAGTAAGGGTTCCCATGAGGAGTCAAAATAGTCTGGCCCAATATGTTGGTGCAGGACAGGCCTCTCTCCAATGCATTGAAATTGAGCATGGCATCCCACCATAGGAATTGAGCTTCAACAAGCTAGTTCCTATACCAGGTTTGTACTGTGGTCCTACTGCCAGTGGCTCCCTCTGACAGTCCAAGCTTCACAACTGTCTGCCACATATGGAGGGCCTAGTTCAGTCCCCTGGAGTTCCTACTGTTGTAGGTCTAGAGTTCATGAGTTTCCATAAGCTTAGTTCAGCTGTCTCTGTAGATTTCCCCATCATGATATTGATCTCCCTTGCTCATTTGTTCCCTCCTCCCTCTCTTTGCCTGGATTCCCAGGGCTTGGTTTGGTCTTGGTTGTGGATATCTGTGTCTGGTTCCATCAATTACTGGATGAGTCATCTATGATGATAGTTGGGTATGCATTAATCTGATTAGAGGGGTAGGCCTGTTAGGCATTCTCTCTACTATTGCTAGGAGTCTTAGTTAGAGTCTTCCTTGTGGGTTCTTGGGAGTTACTCTAGGACCAGGTTTCTCCCTAAGCCTATAGTGGCCTTCTCTATTAAGATAACTGTTTCATTGCTCTTCCACTGCATCCTTCCCTCCCCCACCCCTACCTCCTGCCCAGGCCATCTTATTCCCTTCTGTTCTCCTTTCCCCTCCACTTCCCCTTACCACCCTTTGCCCCAAGTTCACCCTGTAGATATCATGTAATTTCTCTTCCCCAGGTGATCCATATGTCCCTCTTAGGGTCCTCCTTGTTACCTGGCTTCTCTGGAGCTGCGGATCATAGTCTGGTTATACTTTGCTTTACATCTAATATCCACTTATAAGTGAATGCATACTGTGCTTGTCTTTCTGAGTCTGGGTTACCTCACTCAGGATGGTTTTTCCTAGTTCCATCCATTTGCCTGAAAATTTTATGAGGTCATAATATTTTACCACTGAGTAGTACTCTATTGTGTAAATGTACCACATTTTCCTTATCTATTCTTAGGTTGAGGGTCATCTAGGTTGTTTCCAGGTTCTGGCTATTTTGAATACCTACAAATTCCACTCCACCCCAATCCCACCCATTTGCTAGGACCTCAGTGGCTTCCTGGGACATAGACATCAATAAAATAAAATCTTAAATTGGAATAATAGCATCCTATAATTCTCAATTATTCTGATATTCATCAATTTCAAGGTGACAGTAATAATTTAATGCAGTAAACAATAAAGCCAAAATATCATAAAAGTGAATGGACTCAGTTTCAATCATATTGTACAACTGTCCTGACTCACTTGTCAATTCCAAATGAGTCTTATGTTCACGTAGTATTCAGACTGCTGGTTGTATTAATTATGAAAAAACGAGTAAGAAAAATGATGATGAGTCTCTAGTCAGCCTACCTTGAATTCACCTTATTTTGGTAGCTAGGAAGATTGGGCTTGCTGAGTACTTGTGTGAGAAAATGATATTAATATATCCTTAACAATACTTTGCTTAGAAGGAAATTATCTTCTTGGTGATCCTGACTAACTCTGACCCATATTCTTGCCCCTGACATATTTTTACTTTAGATCTAATTTTCCTAGCACCTTTTCACAAACTTGCCATGTTTTCATATAGTATACAATGGGGTTCATCAGAGGTGGGACGAGCAAGAACATGTCAGCAAATGAGGGTGGTGGCCATGGGTGACTTGTGCTTACCAAAGCAGTGCATGGATGCTAAAGCAATGATGAGCACCACATAGATTTCGGAGACACAGATATTGAGGGCTTTGAGGTGCTCTTAATGGAATCCAATTCCAATCACTATCTTCAGAATGAGCACATAGGAGACAGCAATGAACATACTGTCTAATGTCATACAAAGTGAAACACAGAAGCCATAGAAAAAGTTGACTATGTTGTCAGAATAGGCCAGCTTCATGTCATCCTGATGGTGACAATAGGAGTGAGAAAGAAGGTTTCTTCTGCAATATTCCAGTCTTTTCAGAGTGAAAGAAAATGGGATCACTAGGAGAATGCTTTTTAATGAGAAACACTAATTCTATT